AGGCATTCAATTTCTCAATTTCATATTTTCATAAGATATTATGAAATGATATAAATCATATGGTCTCAACAGGATTAAATAGTCTTTAGCTATAAAATTACGAAGATAAATTACTGTTGATTGAGACTCAAGACTATGATATTCATATCAAGCTTCTACAAATTCTATCAATTAATACATACAATTGTTCACATCCTGTTTTATATGTAGAAAAAATAAATTAAAAAATTTATGTGAGAAATCACCATGAATCTGTGATAAAGTGCCTAGTTATTATTTCTATAATACCCTACAAGTGTTTATCAATGACTAACCATGGTGGTTAAACTCCTATGGGAACTGCCTATCTAAATGGCATGATGGAACTTGATTGGGACCAAGGAGAATGACACCTCTTAAGGTCCAAAAACACATGTATATAGATCAGATTTCAAGGCTGAACATGGCTGCGGGTAATGGGAGAAAAACTCTAACCTGCATGATAAGTAGATGGCGGTGATACCTTATGATGTTTTACATGTCAAGGACACCAGTGTTTACTATCAATACTATCACATTTTTACAAACAATTATATGGCTATAATTTATAATTCAATTGGATTTATTGACTATAATAGGTTTATAAAAACTGTGTCATCCAGATCTCATGTTAAAGATTGTGCAGACTATCATTTCTCAGTGAGTTTATCAAAAGTATACATCTTCAGAGAAACTTTCACTGAAACATTTTCACATCATAAAGCTACTGTTACTGGAATGCCTGGAGGATAACTAAGCCATTTCCTCTTGTCATGGCACATTCTGATTGGACGAGACCTATGATGGGCACTAAGCAGCACATCACCAAGGTCATATCAATTAGAACATCTAGCTTATTTGTGTCGATGTTCCTCCCATTTTTCCTCTTGATTTTGTAAATATTGCATATCCCCAGATTAAATGCAACAATAATAATTTTGTCCCATTTAATAATTTGGGGGTTAAGAACACAAACTTAGTCAATTGGCATGAACATTTATCAAAACATAATTTATGTTCTCATTGTCTCAACAATGTCCATGATATCCCTCTAGAAACTTGTCTGTTGATGTCACAACCATGTACACAATGTCATTCTATAAACTTGTCTGTTGATGTCACAACCATGTACACAATGTCATTCTATAAACTTGTCTGTTGATGTCTTTCTTTCATATGTTTGTTGGGTAATATGATACCATGACTGCGGACTCCTGACCTCCACAAATTATCAGAAAAAACCTGAAAAAGTCTTGTATGACCTTTGACCCCTTCACACTTACCCTCATGTCCATCAAATTTTGTACTGATACTATATTTAAATTAATGCAAAATGCTGAAAGTTTCATCAGATACATTATACACAGACTTTTTCTTAGAAGTATTGAAGTATGATTTTTGACCCCTTGACCTTGACTAATGACTGCCAAATCTAATTAATCAGCAGTAGAATTCGATGGAGTGATGTTATGAACATATAAACTAAATCTGTTGAAGGTTTCACAAGATAGGTTACATTCAAAATTTCTATTTCAAAAGCAGAACAGTGTAAGTTTTCACTGTTTCACCTTGACCAACCACCGCCCAAACCTATGCATGTGTTCTTGACATTGTGATATCAATGTGAAAATATTAGCTTAATTTGTAGAGGGATTGGTGAGAAATTTTGTATAAATGTTTTTCAAACTCAAAGTAGTTTTGAACTTTTTTTTCAATCATTGGTAGAAACAGAAGATGATATTATCATCCTCTGCTGAGCATATAAACAGAATCTGTTTTAGTCAATACATATCTGGTAATGCATGAAAGCTTTTCAGCAGACATATGCTCTGGTCTATAAACAAAGTGATTACTATATAATCCCCTCCCTACACAGTCCATACTCCCTCCCTACACAGTCCGTACTCCCTCCCTACACAGTCCGTACTCCCTCTCTACACAGTCCGTACTCCCTCCCTACACAGTCCGTACTCCCTCCCTACACAGTCCATACTCCCCTCCCTACACAGTCCGTACTCCCTCCCTACACAGTCCATACTCCCCTCCCTACACAGTCCATACTCCCCTCCCTACACAGTCCGTACTCCCTCCCTACACAGTCCATACTCCCTCCCTACACAGTCCATACTCCCCTCCCTACACAGTCCATACTCCCCTCCCACACAGTCTGGTAACCACACAGTCCATACTCCCTACACAATACTCCCTCCCTACACAGGTTGTTCCCTACACAGTCCATACTCCCCTCCCTACACAGTCCGTACTCCCTCCCTACACAGTCCATACTCCCCTCCCTACACAGTCCATACTTCCTACACAGTCCGTACTCCCTCCCTACACAGTCCATACTCCCTCCCTACACAGTCCATACTCCCCTCCCTACACAGTCCGTACTCCCTCCCTACACAGTCCATACTCCCTCCCTACACAGTCCATACTCCCCTCCCTACACAGTCCATACTCCCTCCCTACACAGTCCGTACTCCCTCTCTACACAGTCCGTACTCCCTCCCTACACAGTCCGTACTCCCTCCCTACACAGTCCGTACTCCCTCCCTACACAGTCCATACTCCCCTCCCTACACAGTCCATACTCCCCTCCCTACACAGTCCATACTCCCCTCCCTACACAGTCCATACTCCCTACACAGTCCATACTCCCTCCCTACACAGTCCATACTAAGTGTTGAGTATAATTGAGATGTACTTTTATTTCCCCAAGCTGGTAACCAATCAGAGAAACTCCATATAAAATAGCTAAGAAGAGGTTGTTGATGACAAGTTGTATTTAATTAGTAACAGTCCGTATCTAAAGTGGAATTTGATTTTCCTGAGAATAAAAAAGATGTAATTTTTATTTTCCAGATGAAAATTCTGCGTTATTATGATTTTCACGATGCCGTGTCAGACATTGGTTATGACATCTGGTGGCCTGGGACCAATACTGATTTGCACTTTGCAAATGCCTGAATAACTTAAACTTTACAACAAACTTGATAAATCTACTTCTCCAATTACTTCTGTCATTATTTTTCATCTCACAAAAGCAGTTTTCAATCTCTAAATAGAATGAAAATTATGAACCACGCCCAAATACATGTAAGTAGAGAGATTTGATTTGTGTTTCCTCACCAGGGTAAATGTCTGGACTTGTGAACTACACAGCCAGATACCACATCCTGCTAAAACTTGCACATTCCTCTTATTTGACAAATGCATACTTTGAACAAAAGTGCATTTTTTTCTATCTGCGTGAAATGATGAATCAGTGTAAATATACACACCAGTAAAACACAATTCACTTGAGTATAAGATAAGATTTGGTTTTATAGACTTTTTAAAAGCTATCATTGTTTTTTTTCTATATTGACATGCTATCTGCTCATTACTGAATATCAAGGAAAACAATTTGTGACAAAAAAGAAATTATTCACATCATTTTATAAATGATACAGTCAAATGATATGGTTATTGTATTATACAAGCCTGACACGAAAAAAGTACATGTCATTCCTATTTTGTAAGCATTTAATCAAATAAACTCAAGCATTGACTATATCTAAGTTAGGCAAAATACAGGCTATACCATAACCCACAAATCAGCTTTCAAAGACAAAGCCGTGTGTTATTAATATCATCAAGGTTTCGAAAAGGACCATCTATAGATGACAGAAAGATGACAGAGCTTCTGTGGTACACTATATAGATTGAGGTGACACATGAGATGACAGGGTTTCTGTGGTACACTATATAGACTGAGGTGACATATGAGATGACAGGGTTTCTGTGGTACACTATATAGACTGAGATGACACATGAGATGACAGGGTTTGTGTGGTACACTATATAGACTGAGGTGACACATGAGATGACAGGGTTTGTGTGGTACACTATATAGACTGAGGTGACACATGAGATGACAGGGTTTGTGTGGTACACTATATAGACTGAGGTGACACATGAGATGACAGGGTTTGTGTGGTACACTATATAGACTGAGGTGACACAGGAGATGACAGGGTTTGTGTGATACACTATATAGACTGAGGTGACACATGAGATGACAGGATTTGTGTGGTACACTATATAGACTGAGGTGACACATGAGATGACAGGGTTTGTGTGGTACACTATATAGACTGAGGTGACACATGAGATGACAGGGTTTGTGTGGTACACTATATAGACTGAGGTGACACATGAGATACAGGGTTTATGTGGTACACTATATAGACTGAGGTGACACAGGAGATGACAGGGTTTCTGTGGTACACTATATAGACTGAGGTGACACATGAGATGACAGGGTTTGTGTGGTACACTATATAGACTGAGGTGACACATGAGATGACAGGGTTTGTGTGGTACACTATATAGACTGAGGTGACACATGAGATGACAGGTTTTTTCAGTAGACTTTATATCATTTTTGTCACTAGTGTAATGTACCTTAGTGCATTTTTCATTGGCTGCAGGTCAGAAATCAATTTTGCCCTCCACATTGTGACAACAATATCTTAAATTCTATTTCCAATTTATAGTGCTAGTTATTGAGTGAATATACCCATATTACATCATAATTAACACATGTGTTACACAGCTCATTCTGATGTTACAATAGATAATCAAATAACATAACACATTTACAGATGGCATTGTGACATAATAATGGAGACCATAGATATAGGGCAGACAAGACTTCAACATTGATGTATAAATGTTTGTTTTCTATCACTTGAGAAAAAACCTAATTAGGATCTAAATTTACTTCCATTTCATGTGATTTATTGAACTTGTCACAAAGTCATAAATTCTTTTGACTCGATTGGAAAGTTATTTATTTTGCTCACTCAGACTTGCAAAAATCAAAAATTTCAAAACCTTGTTTAGTAAAAATCAAGACTTATTTAAAATGCTATACTGGTATGTTTTGTTTTGATTCAGTAAGGAGTTCAGAAAAAGTTATAAAAATCAACACTCACTTCACTTTTCATCATGAGGTCATGTTTTCCTTTCGTGCCAGAAGCATATGTATCAATGTCCATTTCTGCCTCACTTTCATCACTGGATTCATCGTCAAGGTCACTACAAATTAATCAAAAAGCAATATCATATAACATGGGCAGATTGATTTGATAATATCAACCGAGATAAGAGATGTCTTATCAGCTGTTTTGTAGTTCAATTAGAAAACAACACACTGAATAATACCTTATAACAATTTGATGTCTTCATTGAATTTCATGACTGCAATATGATGTTTGCAAGGGCAGGCCAGTGGATGACTGTTTTTATGATATTATCACAGACAGTGGTGATGACTGGAGAATTTAATCAGGCATACAATCAGAAATCTAATGATAATCTGTTGTATCAACCAGACAACTTGCTGCAAGCAGCAGCCTTATTGTCAAGTTTTTTTAACTAATCTTAAACTGGCTTAGTGTGGAGGGAGGTAATTGGAATGTGCATCCTTGAAATGACTTAGTATACAGGGAAGTAATGGTAATGTGTAGGTCAGGGGAATGTGTAGGCAAGAAATGGCTCAGTAAAGAGGGAGGGTAGTGGAACTGTGTGGGTCTGACCTAGCTCAGTCAGGAGTGACGTAATGGGAAGGTGTGGGCCTGACCTAGCTCAGTGAGGAGACAGGTGATGGGAAGGTGTGGGCCTGACCTTGCTCAGTGAGGAGACAGGTGATGGAACTGTGTGGGCCTGACCTTGCTCAGTGAGGAGACAGGTGATGGAAAGGTGTGGGCCTGACCTTGCTCAGTGAGGAGACAAGTGATGGGAAGGTGTGGGCCTGACCCAGCTCAGTGAGGAGACAGGTGATGGAACTGTGTGGGCCTGACCTTGCTCAGTGAGGAGACAAGTGATGGAAATGTGTGGGTCTGACCTAGCTCAGTGAGGAGACAAGTGATGGGAAGGTGTAGGTCTGACCTAGCTCAGTGAGGAGACAAGTGATGGGAAGGTGTGGGCCTGACCTAGCTCAGTGAGGAGACAAGTGATGGGAAGGTGTGGGCCTGACCTAGCTCAGTGAGAAGACAGGTGATGGAACTGTTTGGGCCTGACCTTGCTCAATGAGGAGACAAGTGATTGGAAGGTGTGGGCCTGACCTAGCTGAGTGAGGAGACAAGTAATGGGAAGGTGTGGGCCTGACCTTGCTCAGTGAGGAGACAAGTGATGGGAAGGTGTGGGCCTGACCTAGCTCAGTGAGGAGACAGGTGATGGGAAGGTGTGGGCCTGACCTAGCTCAGTGAGGAGACAACTGATGGGAAGGTGTGGGCCTGACCTAGCTCAGTGAGGAGACAACTGATGGGAAGGTGTGGGCCTGACCTAGCTTAGTGAGGAGACAGGTGATGGGAAAGTGTGGGCCTGACCTTGCTCAATGATGAGTGACGTGATGGAAAGGTATGGGCCTGACCTAGCTCAAGGATGAGTGACGTAATGGAAAGTTGTGCGGCTGATCTTGCTCTGGTAGACTTTTAACCTTAACCTTAGTAATCACAAACATATCTCAGAGTTCACAAGGCTATATCCTTATAATTACCAACTTATCACATTATTTACATGTAACCCTTAGAGGTGATTAAAGAAACATCTCCCTTTTATCTAAATGACATATTAAACATATGCTGATAATAGATACAGAAATAGATTCCTCAAATTTTATCAGATGAGCTGTATAGAAGACAGAGACTTAATTGAATACAGAAAGTACCAGGTAATTATGTTATTTCTAAAAACCAACACACACATCCACATATCAGTCTCGTTGGTGTAACTTTAAGGCTTGATTTATGAGCTTCATCACAGCTTGTTTTGATACCAGTTCATTACTACCAATGAGTATAATGATGAGGGTTATTATAACCTGATAACTACAATGGGGGGTCTTCGCGTCTTCTTATCGCTATGACCTTGGATGCTTTTTCCAGCGTGAAGCAGCTGTGTAATGGTTTTTGTAGAAAGCTTAAATATTTCTTAAATAACAAATTCTGATATTTTCCTTTACCTATACTGCATGTGTCTCACTGAGGATAACAGCAATTGACAAGGCATCTCACTATTTCTTAATTGACCTCAAATTCAAATCTAAGTGTTCCATTGGATAATTGACGTCACATGGTTAATACATTTCTAAAGTCAGCAGGGTGACATTTCAGAGGGCAGCATGAACATCAAAGTAATTCTGGTATGCATTGCTTCACGAAAGTAAACAACTGAAGAAGATATTTTTCATTACAATGAAACCAACAGGTGTCTGTTATTTGCTGGGTCGGCACCTGAAATTGTATTTTGCTTTGTCTTCTGTAAACATGATTACCGTATTTCCAGGTTGTAAAACACACTGGTATGTAAGCTGCTGAGCCAATTTTTAACAATTTGATACACATATTAGCCGGAATATAAGCTGCACACTTTCGTTGATATAACAGACTATATCAGCTTTTGTAAACTATCGTAATGGTTGCTGAAGCAACCACAAAACTTCAAAAGCCATTATAGTGATTATGAATGTCAAAAAGTATGATTAATTAAATCCATGAGAATGTTATTTTTATTTCAAACTTTAAATCATTCTGTATACAGTTGCAAATGATGGTTCTGTTTCAGGCACAAACATGGGATGGACTATTTTTTATTCTTTCTGGAAGTGTGACATGTTACAGCAATCAAAATGATCAGGATGTGAGGTCACACAGGTCAATAGTGCATGTGGTACACCTCAACAAAATGCCGTTCCAAAATACATAATGGTCCGGAACCGATCTCCAGACAATATGCTTTATTTCATTCTGCTGAATTTTCTTTCGTTCACATTTAAGCTGTACTGGTATATAAGCCGCACGCCCAACCACAGCAGTAAGGAGCTGCAGCTTATAATCTGAACAATACAGTAACCCTTTATATATTCCTTGAGACTAACAGCAAGTAACCAACTAATTAATCACCTATAGTGCAAATGTCAAAAGTCATAATGCAACAAAAATGAAGAAGATGAAAAGGACTGTGCTTTGCTGTTCTCAATCTTTATACAGTCCTCTGATAACACTCTGAACTTTTACACTCAACCTTCAAGAATCTTGACTGATTTGTTCCTTGTAGGGGAAAAAAAAACAACTTTATAATAAAAATAGAAAAATCTTCTGAAAGATCAAATGAGCCGAATTAAATTTAATCTGATTTCATAAGCTTCTTTTCATGAACTATCTTAAGTCATGAGAAAAGGATACCTCGAAGCTTATTTTCATCAAGTTCTTTAGATTAAGTTGTTTTTGAAAGTATACATAAAATCCTTGTGCAAACATCATATATACATACAAATATGCCAACAGCAAGTGCTTTATGTTGTAAATATCCATAAAACAAGTAATCCCATGCATCCCTGGTAGGATTATGTACCATCAGAATTATGGAATATCTACTCCAGTATACTCACTTATCCTGCTCGTTTTTCACTCTTGCCATCTCTGCTTCTTTTTCTTGTTTCTTTTTCAAGTAGTCGTCTAATTCACCTCCTTCTAGCTTAATTCTCCTCCGTATCTGTAACAGATAATTATATTATGCTGTGTATTATCTCAAACAACACTCATTTCTTTATGTAATAGTCGACATCCTCAACACAGAAGTTGTAATTGGTACCAAAGTGAATTTTTAGATTCCTCTTTACCACAAATTTTCCAATTCAAACATTTTTTTTACAAGAATAATTCAATGTGCAAATGTATATTTTTCTCTCTCTTGTTAATGAGATATGTACTGTACTCTGTAAAACTTAAACATTTTTCCTTTTTTCCTCTGTTTTTTGAAGTTTAAAAATTGAAAATTCCTCAAATAATAATCTTAACCTGTGAAATCCACGATGACCACCTGTCAGCCAAAAGGGCACAACTAGGTAGTAAGGGGAACCTTAATATGAAATTTGAAAATGATCCATCCATTATTTTCTCAAGAAACGATGAAAACAAATTTTTTTATGTTAAAATCCATGATAGCCACCTTTCAGTCATTTTGGTTTTTTAACCTCAAAGTTAAATGGGTACAACTAGGAACCAAGGGTACCCTACATATGAAATCCTGAAAAGATCCACCCAGTACTTCTCAAGAAACAGTGATAAGAAACTTTCATTGTCCAAATCTAAGATGAGTGCCTGGTCTCCTGATCAGTCTCAAATCAAATGGCCACAACTAGGGACCAAGGGAAACCTTCATATGATTTGATAAAGATCCATCTAGTACTTCTCTCGCAAAAAGTGATAACAAAAAATGTTCAAGAATGGAAAATGGACATACAGCCGTTTTGAGATGCCCAGCATCATCAGAAGGTGATTATGAGTTAACATTCTAAAGCTACAGGTCTGATGGTTTGTGTTGATGTTATCAATGTAATATATTTTTTTGTTGGCCATGTGTCCCCTGGATGTGTACGTTCCACACAATACCCTGGTCTGTGGGGACACATCATCCTGTAGCTGGGACATAATGGGACAGGTTATGAGGTTACCTAGGGCTACATAATCCCAAAATATCGTCATCAAGGGTCCCCTAATCCCTTATCTGTCACTGATTGATTGAAAGATTCAGTGGAGAGGAAAGAGTATTTCTACAATCAGGTCCTATGATATTGTCTTGAGGGACTACTGTACTGCTGAGAAAACCTCAATACTCTAAACACTACTGGTGTGATAAGGTCACTTTTTTCCCTGTCAGATGTGAAGACAGGAGTATTTTACCAAGCCTTAGGAACAACTCTCAAACAAGTTATCTATGCTTTTCACCCCAAGACTGAGAGGGAGAATTCATTAGTCAGGACAATGGCCTATTAACCACTCACTGACACTAATTATAACCCTTTTATGTCTAGTATGTCACATCATCAATGCATAACACAACAAAAACAAACTGAATTAGGTCAGCTGGGTAACAGAAAACTAATCATGCATCCCCTGTTGTTGGTGATCTAGGGAGATCTTAACCCTCTGGAAATGATCATTTCAACCCTCTCGAAAAGGTTATTTCAACCCTCTGGAAAAGATTATTTCAGCTCTTTGTAAATGAGGATTTCAATGCCCTAAAATAAATTGCAAGAAATTCTGTTGCAGCATAATTCACTTCTGACATGCTACACTTGGCCTTGTGTCGCCAAGTGTGTCAGTAAAATCCATTTGAGAGAAGATGGGCACCTCTAGAAAACAGCAAAAATGTGTATCTAAACAAACATGTGAAGGATGCCAGATGGCTGCACACTCCCACGTCTACCGTTTGAAAAATCTGAGATGACAAAAACAAACACAAGACACAGGATGATGAATCAATGGAAATGCAATTAAAATATCCTGATTTAGGGCAATCTAGAGTCTATATAGACAGTAATATGGATACATTATCACCTAACAATGTTTTATGATATCCAGTGGAAACTCCAGCTTACTAAATCACTTATCAGTTATATATCTCAGCAGTCTACAAAAAGTTGCTATCTCCCTTAACAGCTATAAAGAGTCTACGTCAGGGTAAGGTAACCTCAGACGCATAATGATCAGGAGTGTGGGTTGACGTAAAACATAAGATAGTTTGTGGGATGGTGAAGGTAGAACTATCTGACATAAGACACATAAGTCTATGGGAGGTGAGGGTAGAATTGTCTGACATAAGACACATAAGTCTGTGGGAGGTGAAGGTAGAACTGTCTGACATAAGAAACATAAGTCCCTGGGAGGTGAAGGTAGAACTGTCTGACATAAGACACATAAGTCTGTGGGAGGTGAAGGTAGAACTGTTTGACAGAAGACACATAAGTCAGTGGGAGGTGAGGGTAGAACTGTCTGACAGAAGACACATAAGTCCGTGGGAGGTGAGGGTAGAACTGTCTGACATAAGACACATAAGTCCGTGGGAGGTGAGGGTAGAACTGTCTGACATAAGACACATAAGTCCGTGGGAGGTGAGGGTAGAACTGTCTGACATAAGACACATAAGTCCGTGGGAGGTGAGGGTAGAACTGTCTGACAGAAGACACATAAGTCCGTGGGAGGTGAGGGTAGAACTGTCTGACAGAAGACACATAAGTCCGTGGGAGGTGAGGGTAGAACTGTCTGACATAAGACATATAAGTCCGTGGGAGGTGAGGGTAGAACTGTCTGACATAAGACACATAAGTCCGTGGGAGGTGAGGGTAGAACTGTCTGACAGAAGACACATAAGTCCGTGGGAGGTGAAGGTAGAACTGTCTGACATAAGACACATAAGTCCGTGGGAGGTGAGGGTAGAACTGTCTGACATAAGACACATAAGTCCGTGGGAGGTGAGGGTAGAACTGTCTGACATAAGACACATAAGTCCGTGGGAGGTGAGGGTAGAACTGTCTGACAGAAGACACATAAGTCCGTGGGAGGTGAGGGTAGAACTGTCTGACATAAGACACATAAGTCCGTGGGAGGTGAAGGTAGAACTGTCTGACAGAAGACACATAAGTCCGTGGGAGGTGAAGGTAGAACTGTCTGACAGAAGACACATAAGTCCGTGGGAGGTGAGGGTAGAAGATTGGGGTGATTTTTGTTTCATGCATTATGCTTTATTGATCATACGTTCAACATCTTTGCAGGTGCTTATGTCGTAGTTGGAATGTTTATATACATGAAACATACTCTTGTTGCGTGCAATCATTTGTGGGTAACAACACACAAGAAACCAAAATCTTTAAAAAAAAAAACCCATTAAAGTTTTCGTTCATTCCATCACTAAAAAAAATTATGTGATGAATTATTGGTAAATTTCATGTAGAATTCTTTGCCTGTAGGAAACAAAGAATTTTTGACGAAACGAACCATAATTCCAGCTCACAAGATTATCTGATTCCGTACGATGTGAAAAGCTATTGACAGTATATTAAATGCATCAAGATTGTTACAACTCTCCCATTAATTTTTGTCACATTTCAAAATTGAATATTCATACGTTGTTGAATTTAAACCATTTGAAATATACATCCTTCGGTGTTTATGATTTTATTGAGCATATTGTGAAATAGACTTCTACACAAGAAGTGAAACTGCCGGCAATTGCAAAAAATTTAAATCGTCTTAACTCTGCCAATTGCTCCGTCAATCTGCAAAAACCTGCTCATAGATTCTGTTTCCGTTGAATGCTGAATCCATTCAGCTGTAGTTCCAACCAAATAATATCAAACTATACATGTATACAAATTGTCATGTAGATTCCAAGAAAAACGTTTTGTGGAGATACTTTCGAAGTAGAGCAGCATCATCAGTTTTGTAACTTTACACTAAATTCTATAATCTTCCTGCTGTTGTATACATCTTTTGAACAATCTCAAAATGTATTTCATGCAGATTTTAAATATTTGTTATATACAGTTTTAGATATCCAAGAGTACTCAGACCAAAACATTTTATAAAAATATGAGGATGGGCCAAAAATGGCCCTTATGCTACCAAGTCCTTTCTGACAAAAAGACACATATAGTTTAATGGGGTTGAAAGTATAATTATCAGAAAATTGATACAGAGTATCATAGGTTGTTAGATTACCTCTATAAGATACATTCCTTTTGCTAATAGCAATTTCATCTTCATGAAATCTATTTTTCTTGATTTCACTGAATCCTTGACACAGTTTACTTCTTAGTTTTGTACCATTTTTGTCTGTATGTGTGATATGATATAAACCCTGTAACATTGGTCAGTATTAGTGACACAGCTTAGGATACAATGGGGACAAATATTGTTTTCACGGTCTAGACAGAAAGTTCTAGCAGGTCTGCCTGAAGTCGGAAGTTACATTAAATCATGGCGGCTGTGGTATTATGCTATGACAATTAACGTGTGATGAGGAAACAGGGTCCAGGAAGTGCCTTGACTGGTTTATTTCACGTTTATTATCATTAATGAAATGTGCCTTAATTGACCATTATCACAAACAGGTATAAATTCATTATTGTTTTCTCACAGATTTGGGAAGGCTGCATAAGGGTACCAGGTAATCCTGACAATATTCCAGGTCATGAAATTTTACTGACTAAATTCCTGTTGGAATGATATTGATAATACTGTGGGAAGGCGAGGAATCACAGTCAGATTGCTGTGGGAAGGCGAGGAATCAGAGTCAGATTGCTGTGGGAAGGCAAGGAATCACATTCAGATTGCTGTGGGAAGGTGAGGAATCACATTCAGATTGCTGTGGGAAGGCGAGAAATCAGAGTCAGATTGCTGTGGGAAGATGAAGAATCACAGTCAGAATGCTGTGGGAAGGTGAGGAATCACATTCAGATTGTGTGGGAAGGTGAGGAATCACATTCAGATTGCTGTTGGAAGGCGAGGAATCACATTCAAATTGGTGTGGGAAATTGTCATTGGTGTGGGAAGATGAGGAATCACAGTCAGATTGCTGTGGGAAGATGAGGAATCACAGTCAGATTGGTGTGAGAAGGCGAGAAATTAGAGTCAGATTGCTGTGGGAAGGTGAGGAATCACATTCAGATTGGTGTGGGAAGATGAGGAATCACATTCAGATTGGTGTGGGAAGATGAGGAATCACAGTCAGAATGCTGTGGGAAGGCGAGGAATCACATTCAGATTGGTGTGGGAAGATGAGGAATCACAGTCAGATTGCTGTGGGAAGGCGAGGAACCACATTCAAATTGGTGTGGGAAGATGAGGAATCACAGTCAGATTGGTGTGAGAAGATGAGGAATCACAGTCAGATTGCTGTGGGAAGGCGAGGAATCACATTCAAATTGGTGTGGGAAGATGAGGAATCACATTCAGATTGCTGTGGGAAGGTGAGGAATCAGAGTCAGATTGCTGTGGGAAGATGAAGAATCACAGTCAGATTGCTGTGGGAAGGTGAGGAATCACATTCAGATTGTGTGGGAAGGTGAGGAATCACATTCAGATTGCTGTTGGAAGGCGAGGAATCACATTCAAATTGGTGTGGGAAGATGAGGAATCACAGTCAGATTGGTGTGGGAAGATGAGGAATCACAGTCAGATTGCTGTGGGAAGATGAGGAATCACATTCAGATTGCTGTTGGAAGGCGAGGAATCACATTCAAATTGGTGTGGGAAGATGAGGAATCACAGTCAGATTGGTGTGGAAAGATGAGGAATCACAGTCAGATTGCTGTGGGAAGATGAGGAATCACAGTCAGATTGGTGTGAGAAGGCGAGAAATTAGAGTCAGATTGCTGTGGGAAGGTGAGGAATCACAGTCAGAATGCTGTGGGAAGATGAGGAATCACATTCAGATTGGTGTGGGAAGATGAGGAATCACATTCAGATTGGTGTGGGAAGATGAGGAATCATAGTCAGATTGCTGTGGGAAGGCGAGGAACCACATTCAAATTGGTGTGGGAAGATGAGGAATCACATTCAGATTGGTGTGGGAAGATGAGGAATCACATTCAGATTGGTGTGGGAAGATGAGGAATCACATTCAAATTGGTGTGGGAAGATGAGGAATCACATTCAGATTGCTGTGGGAAGGCAAGAAATCAGAGTCAGATTGCTGTGGGAAGGTGAGGATTCACATTCAGATTGCTGTGGGAAGGCAAGGAATCAGAGTCAGATTGCTGTGGGAAGATGAAGAATCACAGTCAGATTGCTGTGGGAAGGTGAGGAATCACATTCAGATTGTGTGGGAAGGTGAGGAATCACATTCAGATTGCTGTTGGAAGGCGAGGAATCACATTCAAATTGGTGTGGGAAGATGAGGAATCACAGTCAGATTGGTGTGGGAAGATGAGGAATCACATCAGATTGCAGATGAGGAATCACATTCAGATTGCTGTTGAATCACATTCAAATTGGTGTGGGAAGATGAGGAATCACAGTCAGATTGGTGTGAGAAGATGAGGAATCACAGTCAGATTGCTGTGGGAAGGTGAGGAATCACAGTCAGATTGGTGTGAGAAGATTGCTGTGGGAAGATGAAATCACATTCAGATTGGTGTGGGAAGATGAGGAATCACATTCAGATTGTGTGGGAAGGTGGGAATCACATTCAGATTGGTGTGAGGAATCACATTCAGATTGGTGTGGGAAGATGAGGAATCACAGTCAGATTGCTGTGGGAAGGCGAGGAATCACATTCAGATTGGTGTGGGAAGATGAGGAATCACAGTCAGATTGGTGTGGGAAGATGAGGAATCACATTCAGATTGGTGTGGGAAGATGAGGAATCACATTCAGATTGTGTGGGAAGGTGAAGAATCACATTCAGATTGGTGTGGGAAGATGAGGAATCACAGTCAGATTGCTGTGGGAAGATTGCTGTGGGAAGAGGAATCACAGTCAGATTGCAGATTGTGTGGGAAGGTGAGGAATCAATCAGAGTCAGATTGAGGAATGTGATTGGTGTGAGAAGTGAGGAATCACAGTCAGATTGCTGTGGGAAGGCGGGAATCACATTCAAATTGGTGTGGGAAGATGAGGAATCACACATCACATTCAGATTGCTGTGGGAAGGCAAGGAATCAGAGTCAGATTGTTGTGGGAAGGCAAGGAATCAGAGTCAGATTGCTGTGGGAAGGTGAGGATTCACAGGCAGATAGCTGTAATGGCAATCCACAAAAGTAAGGTTTGAAAAAAAAGAAACAAAAATATAAAGATATGAAAAAAAAATAATCACAAAATTTACTGATAGAGCTGACAACCAAGTTTCAATGATAAAGTTGTCATTTTCTAGAGACACAAAACTTAACAATGACTACTCCATCTGGGGACACTCAATCAGTCTAACAACCCAAGAGACAATCAAAACCTGCCCTCCAAGGGCATTAAGAAGACAACCAAACAAAACCTGCCCTCCAAGGGCAATAAGAAGACAATCAAACAAAGACTGCCCTCTAAGGGCAATCATGAGACAATCAAACAAAACCTGCCCTCCAAGGGCAATAAGAAGACAATCAAACAAAGACTGCCCTCTAAGGGCAATCATGAGACAATCAAACAAAACCTGCCCTCCCACGGCAATAAGAAGACAATCAAACAAAACCTGCCCTCCAAGGGCAATCAGTAGACAAACAAAAAAGGACTGCCCTCCAAGGACTTTCAGGAGACAATCAAACAAAGACTGCCCTCCAAGGGCAATAAGAAGACAAACAAACAAAGACTGCCCTCCAAGGGCAATAAGAAGACAAACAAACACTGCCCTCCAAGGACTATTGGGAGACAAACAAACACTGCCCTCCAAGGACTATTGGGAGACAATCAAACAAAGACTGCCTTCCAAGGACTATCAGGAGACACAATTAATAAAAAAGAAGACTGCCCTTCAAGGGCAAACATGAGACAATCAAACAAAGACTGTCCTCCAAAGGCAATCAGGAGCACAGTTAATAAAAAAATTCTGCTATTCAAGGACTTTCAGGAGACCCAGTTAGTAAAAAAAGCCTGTCCTTCCAAGAATATCTGGAGATACTTAAACAAACAAAAATTGCCTATCTGGATACATTTCCAAAATATCCATTTCTGTTTAAATGTTAAGCTAGCGCAGAAGTTGCGCCTTAAATGATTCTCCACTGGTACTCTAAGCTGTAAAGAATTTGGTAACCATTTCAACAAACAAGGATGACAAATAAAATATCAGGACCTTCAGAGCAGCTACAGAACCACCAAAACATGATGACCTTTTGTTTATAGACATAGCAATTACCTACTTCATGCATTAGTTACAAAGTATTTTCTTCTGGAAAACTGCTGTTTTGTAAAGGTCAGCTGTCTATCATACATCAGAAGGCTTTTTAAAGGCAAAAATAAGTGTCTAGAGTTAATTTGATAAGGTCAAAGATATAACAATCTTCACAAGGATTTTCATTAAATTGTCTCTAGATTACATTTTAATATTGATGAGAGCGACTCTAAAGTCCAAGTCTTCATACAAAGGCTTACAAAACACATGATCCCTCCACTAAAACCAGCAGGAACATTGCTTAAAATAGGGTATTTCCCTCTGTAAGACAATAAACACATTTTTTCTTTTTTTCAAATCTATTTTCATACATCTTTTCTGAACTTGTGTTCCACATTTGATAAACCTCATTTGAATAAAGAAACCATTCGTTCTGTCTCACAGAAGAATACATTTGCTATAGATTTACTGTAATGATATTTGACTAGTATAACATTACCTCCATCGTAACTGTCTTGTTTTCTGGGTTGTCGATGAGTTGTCGGGCAAGAGTGCCTGGAGACGTACGATTGGTCAAAATGATACTGTTTTTGGAGCTGCCACACCATGCCACAAAGAGGTCTCGTGAAAAGCCACATTGCAGATCTGGGACACTAGACAGCACCACCTGGAATAGCAAGGTCATGTTTTAGTTCCAAAACAGTTTTATACATACCAATGTACAATAATTAATATCTGTGTATAAACCCTGTACAATAAAACCCAGATACAATGTCACATCTATGTATATATACCCTGTACAATAAAACCCAGATACAATGTCACATCTATGTATATATACCCTGTACAATAAAACCCAGATACAAGGTCACATCTATGTATATATACCCTGTACAATAAAACCCAGATACAAGGTCACATCTATGTATATATACCCTGTACAATAAAACCCAGATACAAGGTCACATCTATGTATATATACCCTGTACAATAAAACCCAGATACAAGGTCACATCTATGTATATATACCCTGTACAATAAAACCCAGGTACAATGTCACATCTATGTATATATACCCTGTACAATAAAACCAAGGTACAAGGTCACATCTATGTATATATACCCTGTACAATAAAACCCAGATACAAGGTCACATCTATGTATATATACCCTGTACAATAAAACCAAGGTACAAGGTCACATCTGTGTATATATACCCTGTACAGTAAAACCCAGATACAAGGTCACATCTATGTATATATATATACAATGTCACATCTATGTATATATACCCTGTACAATAAAACCAAGGTACAAGGTCACATCTATGTATATATACCCTGTACAATAAAACCCAGATACAAGGTCACATCTATGTATATATACCCTGTACAATAAAACCAAGGTACAAGGTCACATCTATGTATATATACCCTGTACAATAAAACCCAGATACAAGGTCACATCTGTGTATATATACCCTGTACAATAAAACCAAGGTACAAGGTCACATCTGTGTATATATACCCTGTACAATAAAACCCAGATACAAGGTCACATCTATGTATATATACCCTGTACAATAAAACCCAGATACAAGGTCACATCTATGTATATATACCCTGTACAATAAAACCAAGGTACAAGGTCACATCTATGTATATATACCCTGTACAATAAAACCCAGATACAAGGTCACATCTATGTATATATACCCTGTACAATAAAACCTAGATACAAGGTCACATCTGTGTATATATACCCTGTACAGTAAAACCCAGATACAAGGTCACATCTATGTATATATACCCTGTACAGTAAAACCCAGATACAAGGTCACATCTATGTATATATACCCTGTACAATAAAACCCAGATACAAGGTCACATCTATGTATATATACCCTGTACAGTAAAACCCAGATACAAGGTCACATCTATGTATATAAACCCTGTACAATAAAACCCAGATACAAGGTCACATCTATGTATATATACCCTGTAAAATAAAACCCAGATACAAGGTCACATCTACGTATATATACCCTGTACAATAAAACCCAGATACAAGGTCACATTTTTGTTTTGGTCAAGATGTCCTTTGATATTGGATGGTTTTGTTTAAATGTTTTTTTTCCTAAAGTCAGAAAGAGGTTTAATCAGTGTAATTAGTTCACAGTGTGTTTCTTAAAGCAACCCTTGCTCCACTTTGATCTTGTATAAAAGCAAAGCATTAAGCTAATCTGTAGGGGTGGCTATTTAATGATATATCACTATACAGGTGATGACCTAATTCTCAAGGAACCTAAAATATACATAGGTCCACACCCTGATTCTCTCCCTAATGACATTTGTGGGAAGAAACCCTTGTTTAATTAGTAAACTGGTTGTATTGTTAGAGCCTTTCCTGACTTCTACATCAATAGTGATTACTGGTACACTCCACCAGTGCAGACAGGTGTTAGAGGAACACTCCATCATTCAACACTCCTACTTCAACTCACAAATTGTCTCATTTCTTTGCCACAAAACATCCAAGTAAAAAATAAGGTTTGATCTGAATATTGTTTTGTAACCTTTGCTTTTTGATTAACTTTGATCACAGGAATTGAAATGTCTTCAGGACATACTTGAAGTAAGGACCTATACATTATACATATAGTACCAGTGAACTTACACTTCAGGCATAATCAAAGGCCATGTAACTGATTTTATAGTTTCAAATGAATTTTTGCAAAATAAAAGTTGTTAAAATACAGCGCTGATTGTCACTTAGTTACCATGCCTCTATGTCTCTAATCAAAGGGAACAGAAATGGGGGGAAAAAAAAACCTTAAAAAACCCCAAAAAAAACAAAAAACAAAGTAAAAAAAACACAGAAAAATAAACATAAAGCAAAAAGAGTTTAAATTTCATACAGACAATTGATTTTTTTTTAATTTGAAATAAATCTTCAGAAATGTCAATATGTGTTGGGAGTATTCTTGAAGTAGCTAAGAAATGGTAGTTAAAGTATTAGAAAGGATATTATCTAAATATATAATAAAAAATAGGAACAGAAATGATCATATAATTAAGCCATAACAGAAAAAAATGGAGGAGGAGAAATGTCTAAATTGACAAAATCTCACCATGAATAATCACAGTAGTAGGATTAGAAAATTCTGAATAAAGCAAACTCCCAAGAAATTTGGAATACAATTCTAAAACAAGCATTCTCGCCAGATATACACAATTTTGAACAATTGATATCACCTACATTTTCATCTCTACCATACAGTATACGATTGGGAATCAAAATGAACAGAAATGTCAGACTACACAACCTCTCCTGATAAATGCAGCATTCCGTAATCTGCAAGCAGACTGCAACTGAAACTGATTAAATTATCCAAAGTTTTGTTGAGAAAATCTCACTAATCCCATCTGATGAACCATCAATGATATATGTTTGAATGAATAATACATGTAATTAAGTTTTTAACAAAATCTATCTTTCCTGATTTTTCATCAGTAAATGAACACAATCAGTAAAAAAACTGTTTCAAAATCTAGGAATTTTCTGCAGCCCTCCTCTTAGGTTGTCAGACATCAATCAGGAAAATATACTATACAGACAGCAGCTATAATCATTAAATAATAAAGAATATTAATTTGGTGTCAGTAGAACAATGTATCTATTTGGTATAAGTAGTATAATGTATTAATTTGTATAAATAGTATTGTATATTTATTTGGTATAAGTAGTACAATGTATTTATTTGGTATAAGTAGTTTAATGTATTACTTTGGTATAAGTAGTACAAAGTATTAAATTTTATTATCATTATTATTCTATCCTTTATTGTCTTATAACTCATGAAATGTTTGGTGTACTTACAACTTGTAATTGTCCCCCTTCCAGCCCAGCTTCATTCTCTCAATCACCATCCTCCTTTACACCTGCTTGCCATTGCACAAATCCCAGTATACCTCCAATCCCTCTCACACCCTCCCCATCACTAATCCCCTCGCTACCTTAATTTCCTTCACTTCAAACTCTGTTCCCTTCCTTCCCCTCCCCTATCTGTCTTCACTCCCCATCCCTCCCCTGCAGCCTTCACTTCCACATCCCCACCATCCTTTGCCTCTGTATTGTGGATACCACTGCCTATCATTCCTCCCTGCACTGTGGATACCACTGCCTATCATTCCTCCCTGTACTGTGGATACCACTGCCTATCATTCCTCCCTGCACTTTGGATGCCACTGCCTATCATTCCTCCCTGTACTGTGGATGCCACTGCCTATCATTCCTCCCTGTACTGTGGATGCCACTGCCTATCATTCCTCCCTGCACTGTGGATGCCACTGCCTATCATTCCTCCCTGCACTGTGGATGCCACGCCTATAAATCCTCTATGTACTGGTGGAGTTAAATATAATGTGAATGTTGAATGTGTAATTACACCACTAATCCTTAATGTATTACAATTTCATCAAAGCTGATTACTGATTAACACTTAACAATTAAATGTCTGTTAATTGGCTTGATCACCTGACTATAAATCCTTCCCTGAAGCTCCTGACCCCAGTCCATTAACTTCATTATGGTCTCAATTTGATTATATAATGGCTTTCTCAGTAATCAAACATTAAATAAGGCTTTCAGACCTGGTCTAAATTGACATGGATGTGTGAAGTCATGGCCAAATAATTGATTAATTAAAAAGAAACAATTATCGTTCCTAGAAGGAATGTTTGAATAGGACTGTAGTGATTGTAATGTTACAGAGTACAGAGACTTATGTACTACTATAGTACAGTACAAAGGTAATCAAATAAATAGTACGTTCCTGAACTATCTTTGTACCTTAATCAATGTTTTACAGACATATTCTAAAAAGTTATTCACAGCTGCTCTGAAGTTGGTACCAGATGAAATAACCGATTATAAAACACAACATTTCCCGAAATACTTACTCAACCTGTGTGTACAAATCCCCAAGCTAATGAAACTTGAAAGAATTATTAGGAATAATAGCAATGAAATTAATGATGTATATGTCTCCTGTTAGCTCAGAGGGCCAGGACATTAACCCAGAGTTATCTCCCTTATAACCATTTTTTTTGTGTGATATGTTTATCTATGGTAGTGTAATGATTTTCTAATCCCGGTTTATTTACTATGACAACACATATCAATCTTTTACTAACTTAAGATTATTTTTCTTCTTGCCAGAAAACTTACTATTTACCACCTGTATTTATTTGTTTGGAAGTCAGCAGGTAGGGACGTGATCAAAAGTGTACTGGCTCTCCCATCAATAACATACTACTCTAACACTCTGATCTCTTCTGCTAGGATGAACTTAAACATCACCCAGAGTCTGTAAATAATTATCTACCTTTTTCTACATAACTTATACAGTTCTCTCATAGCATCATTTTGGCAAAGATTTCAAAGCACAGTTTTTTTTCCGGACTTTCCCACTGATATATTCCCTATAATATCAAACCAGATGTTTTCAACAACAGTGAACAAAAGCAAATTGGAAATCTGAGGCTGAATTTTATAACGAGTGAAATCTAGGACTTTAGGTACAATGTACAATTCTTTGTTTGAGCCAGTTATCTCACACAATTCCTTGCCCTCGTTGTTCAAAGGGTAGTTAAGGTTAGTTAAAAA